CATTAAAAAAAAACATTAAATTCAGAAAAAAAGTTTAAACTATAATATACCTACTCATTACTCGGTTAGGTATTTATCTACCTCATTAAAATGTATCTTTATATCGTTTTTAAAAAAATTGTTGGAATTGGTTTTGCTAGGCAGTGTCCTACTACCTAGTAAAGCCAATGTCGAAATTTTCTATTCTAGATAGACCTCTCCCGCACTCTGTTATGCCTCATTTACATTCAGCCCCTGCCACTGCTCCTCGCGCTGCCGGCAATACTTCGCTAAATACTGCCGTAGCAGGATCGCGGGAAGTGTGTATTCACACTCTGCCCTACCGCTCACATCACTTTCGGCTTTCGACTATGGCAGACGTCGAAATAATTACAGCGTCCGCGCTGTGTCTTATTGCAATACAAAATTATGTTAATAATTTAAAAATATTTCAAATTCGAAAGAAGATAGATAGATAGATAGAAAATTTATTTGCTTAAAAACATGGTACATAAGATGATCAATGACGTGGAACTGACATGTTTTGCCATAATTGGCATGCAAAAATGATATAAAATACAGCTAATTATACAAACCCAATGTTATATTTTAAAATTATTGCATTGCTTAAAAGTTAGGTGCAAACATTCTTTTTGAATTAAAATATTATGTATTAATGAAATACTTATACAGATCCACTCTATTTGAATTCTTATACAATAAATTGTTCCTAAATTATTAATTGAATTATTACATTATTGTTACATAAATAATATTAAATATTATATGAGATTAGTTAAGCTATTATTATTTTAATAATTACACTACAGTATTAATTAATTCATAATTTTAACTACAATAAAATTATAATTTAAAAATCTCAGGCTATCATGTTACCATTTAACTTATTTCACATTTTAATAAATAAATAATCAATATGAGTTACTAATCGTTGTTAGAAATAAAATGTCAACTAAATTTTATATTAATACAATAAATTTGACGCATTTATAATTAATTATGTACATAAGTACTATGTTATCTCAAAAAGAAAATTCGTATTCGTAGAAGATGATGAATTGTGGTTTTTATCGTTCAAATCCCACATAGTTTTTTCTGATTCCAGCAGTTCTAAAAACTTTATTGTATTTTCATTATTCCACTCGAAAGGCATTTTGGTAGATCGTACTTATTTAATAACAAGACGGCACGCACGTCCGTTCATCCAGGCGCTTGGCGCGAAGCATAGATTACTGAATATATACACGCGAAGTGAGCGATGGAGCTGAATGTGAACACTCAGCACTCACTGCCGCTCGCGCTGCCCGTCCTTTGACTTCCGCACGAAAAACCGACATTTGAGGGATCGTCGGGCAGTGGCAGCGGCAGCGGCAGTGTCAGCGCGAGTAGCCTGTTTACATACTGCCCTGCTCACTGCCCTGCTCACTTCCCTGCCCAACAGGGCTGAATGTAAATGGGGCATTACAGTCAATCGGGGTAACTTTGACAGGCAAGTCGCAAAATACTCTTTTATTTTCTACGCGAACAACATTTAGTGCATAACATCGAATTTATACAATTCGTGTACTTAACAAACTTCACAAACGAACTCTCTAGAATAAAAGTAGGTGTCAAACGAAGTTAACTTCTAATGGACGTCACACACGGTCAGTTCAACTGATTAGTTCAAACTAAAACTGTTGATATTTTTTAAAATATTGAATTTTGGGTATATTGATAATTATAAATATATCAATCTATAAACAAATATTACAATATTTAAAAAATATCAACAGTTTTAGTGTGAACTGATCAGTTGAACTGACCGTGTGTGGCGACCATAAAACTTATTTTAAAGTACCGTGCGCAACTGTTGTCTTTTGCAGTGGTAAACTTTTAAAGAGGAGAGTTTAAATAAAGATAGTACTACAATTTTATGGTTTTATTGACTTGTGTAAGACTCCACTGCATCTGAAATTTGTAAAAAACTTACACTAATGTTACCCTGAAGCTATAAAATGTTTGAAAATTATGATTCCTGCTACTAATCTCATCTGTGTCAAAGAAATCCTTAAAGGGGTTATAACTTTGACACACAAGAAAATTGCTAGTTTTTTTTATATATTGTATGAATTTTATAGACGTTAAATAATATGAGAGTATGAAAACGAACCCGAGAGAACAGATTAAGTACACTCTTTTGTCTCATAGTCAACATAATAAAAGTTATATACAAAAATAGTGATGATCTGTCAAAGTTAGCCCGATTGACTGTACCTATTTCTGAGGTCAAATAGCAGTGTTTGTACTTCTGTGTTTCGGTATGAAGAGTAAAGGGAGCTAGTATAATTACAGGTTTCATCTAAATCTCCAGAGGTGTTAAAGCACATGGAGCCTTCTTTGTTTAACTTTGGCAGCAGGTGTCCACGGCCTGTTGTAGCCACTTACTTGTGATAGACTGTAAGTTAGTTTGTAATTTCAGCATTATAAAGATAACGAAAGTAAAGATAGATACTTATTGTTATCCACCATTTTTGATACTCCAAATATTATTTTTTACATTTATTAATGTATTTATAATAATTTTTAAGTTGTAGAGCCATGCTGCAGCTATATTAGTAGTATAGTTGTGGCACGAATGGGTCGGTTCGACCGGGGAAGAACCACGCTCACAGAATACTAGCGTAAAATAGCAATTAACGCTGCTGTGTTTTCTATGGTTAGTGTAGAGAAACGGAGACCCTTTTTACTGGAAAGGAGGCATTCCATCTTAGTCCTCATGGGTAACAACGCAACTGCATTTTGATTTGCAATCGAGGATAGATGTAGATGTCTATGGGCTACAGCAATTACTTACCATCAGGTGGACTGTGTGCTAGTTTGTCACCCTTATCCTATAAAAAAAACGGCGTCTATCCACAAACGTGCGAACTTTAAGCGTAACCATGCGAATATGGAGTCATAGCTTATTTCGCGATGTTTTTTTCTCTGCGAAGTTGCGCGCGATTCGCGAACTAAATAAGTGTAGAGATTGTATCACATTTTCGAGCGTTGGACATCGGTGCCGGCACGAGCCCGGCTGCAGGGGAAGCAAAAATGTATTAAATGTATGGCGTGTGTATGTGTTTCCTCTCATCCGGACGGATATCAGATATCCGTCGAAGCCCCTTTAGGCTCAGACCATTGTCTTGTCCAGAGTGTGGTGTCACTCACGCTGAAATCGCGGTTGCATTCTGCAGGCTGCCACCGTGTTTGGCACTATAGGTCAGTCGATTGGGATAGGATGTAGTCTTTCTTTGCATCCTACCCTTGGGGGCGGACTATTATTTGTCGGGTCAGAGGAACGCCACGAAACTGCGACGCTCCGCACTTAAAATTCGGGAAAGTGGGAAATAAGTGATCGAATAAAAGTGTTTTTGGTCTTAAAAGTTGACGAGACCTGTCTTTTGGTGTTTTTAAAAATAGCCGGACGATATTTTTTGAACTTTTCATGTGAAAAACCATTTTTCCTTATATTACTTAACCTAAAAAACGGTAAATCGTGTGCGGTGCATGATTTTTCGCTGGCAACATAGTTTTTTTGGTGTCGTTTTGTGCGTCTTGTGATCTTCCAACTTCCCACCAAATATTGGAATTTCTGGAGTACGCATCTCCAAGTTTTGGTTGTTTTTACTAAAACCACGTGGTGGGCCATCTTCGGATCCAGACGTCTCCGGATTTGAAGACGCCGCTTCAAAGGGGGAGACCTGTGCTACAAAACACCGTATCCTGTTTCAGCCGGAAATCATTATCTTGGACTTTACCAGCCTATTTGCAGTTTTTTCCCAAGTATGTACTGTAAATTTAAGCAATTATTGCAATAAAATTATGAGTGATAACCTATTTTAAGTGACTATCAAGTGTATCAACTCTTATAGAATAACAGTGCAAAATTTCAGATATTTTTTTTTGAACAAGTACTTTTCTTTTACATAACTTCAATTTCTTTTAATTTTTTATATTCTTATTATTCCTTTAATTTTTGAGTGTATATTATCTCTGTACATTAAAAATGCACTTTTTAAACCAAATATATATCAATAATAGACATTTTCATTGTTTTAAATAATTTATTATTTTCGTGTTACCAACTTTTTACATTGTATTATGTGTGTTGAGTGAAAATGGCGCCGTCACAGGGCGAACCACTCCCCCTCCCAGCTTCGGCCGAGGAGGTTAAAGACATAGACAGTTTTTATATGGTGATAAGCAAACTTGCCTCCTGCATCAGTACCGCGGTAAACGAAGGGAAGAGAGTGACCGCGGCTAATACGCGACTTATCAGCCAAGCTGCTGAAGAAATTAGAACAGCCACACGATCTCTTCTTTCCATCAAGTCTGTCGCCTCCTCTAGCACACCAACATCAAATAGCGAGTTAAAGGATGAGATCCTCGCATGTGTGAGGGAGGAGATTGCCAGTGTTAAAAAACTTGTCTCAGCCAACAAGTCCTCTTACGCATAAGCAGCAGCAGTGACTCACGTGGCTCCGCACCTGCTGGGCCAACCGTCCTCCGCATTTCCCCACCAGCGACTAAACCGGCGATCATAGTTAGCCCGACCGTCGAGATTAATACACGCCAGGAGGCTGTTGAATTATTTAAAAAAAAAAACATTATTTACCGCAATGCCAATTCCGCACCGGCTCGTATTCAGCCTGTGTCCAACAACAAGCTGCGTGTCGAGTTCTATACGAAGATTCAACGCAATGGCACCCTAACGAGGCTCGAGGGAAAAACTGAAATTAAGGCTGAACCCGTACGGAAACCCATGAAACCCATGGTCATATTAAAGGGCTTATCTAAGGATGTTCCAGCAGACGATCTTACAAAAATTATTAGACAGCAAAATGAGGAAATTAACGAAATTATCAGTGATGATGGTGAGGGCCTCAAAGTAAGATTTAAACGGGACAATAAGAACAATTAACCTGTATAACGTGGTTCTTCTAGTTGATCCTAAGGTATACAGCAGAATGTTAACAATGGGTCGTATCAGCATCGATTACCAGCGCGTCCATGTTGCTGGTTTCTCGCCGTTCCTCCAGTGCCACAGGTGCCTGCAGTTCGGCCATACAAAACTAAGGTGCACTGCGGACCAAAGCTTCTGCTCACATTGTGCGAGCATAGAGCACGATGTGAGCAATTGTCCTAACAAGGATAAGACCGAAAGCGCAAAATGCCTAAACTGCCACACACACAATATGCGTTTCAACACTAAACTGGACACTAAACACACGGCTAACTCCAACACCTGCCCAAGTTTGCGAGCCATGAGGGAGAAGATAAATAATCGTGTCGACTATGGATACACACAGTAAATTAAAAACTTTACAGTGCAACCTCGACAGATGTAAGAATGCACAACATGAGATTCTTCTCTCCTTTATGGCCGGTGATTATGACATCGCTCTCATCTCCGAGCCATATATTGGTTCTGGAGAATAGGTAAAATCAACATTTTGGAATTGACATATATCAATTTTTCACGGGCAACAAGATTAAGGCCTGCATCCTGGCAAAACCAGGATGCGGGTCCATCTTGGGACTATTGCAATACTCTACATCCAACTTCTGCGCAATAAAAATCACGTTTGGTAATCGCAATATTTATATTGCGTCCATATATGTGGAGCCCAATATTGACGAATCAAATACGCTCGATAAGCTTGACGTCTTTCTTAAAAACACAGGCGACTCTCATAAGATTGTGGGGGGGCGATCTCAATGGGTGGCACCCGATTTGGGGAAGCGTAAAATCGAACCCAAGGGGCAACGAAGTTATAGATATAATACACAGCAATGACATGTATGTATGCAACGTTGGTAACATCCCTACGTTTGAAACGGTCACCCACGGGCGAGATCGCTCTTCAATAATTGATCTCACATTTGCTTCCGGCTCCATTATCGATAACATCTAACACCACACACACACATCAAATCTCCACTTTCCTGTACAAATCTAATAAAGCTTGTTGGCGTATCTTTAACGACAAACTGCACACACACATGACACTCACAAACATACTCGAACATGACATTTCTACCCTGAACGTTGATGATCTGGAACGTATCATCAACGAACTAACCAATGTGATCCACTCTGCATGTCGAGCCAGCATGCATGTTAAAAGCCGGGGAACAAAGCCCAAAGCTCCTTAGTGGACGGAGGAGTTGGAGACCCTCAAGCGGGAGGTGGTGGATTTACACCATCAGCTCCACGCTGCCAAGCGCCAGGGTATGCCTCTGGAACATATTTTAGAAACGAGGAAACAAAAAAAGGAACTATACGCCAACAAGATGCGTGAGGAGTCGACTAGGCATTTTCGTGAGTTTTGCGAATTGCAAACTAAGGAAAATGTCTGGTCACTCACGAACAGACTCCTCAAAAATGTCTCCCCTAGGCGCCGACCAGTCACCCTCAATAGGGGCTCCACCTACACCACAGACAGCCAGGAGACTGTCAAAGCACTCCTTGACCACTTCTACCCTGATGACTCACCAGACACCTTAACGCGACATCACGAGCTCAGATCAGAAATGACCGACCTTCCTCAGTCCCACGATGACCCTCCCTTCACCCAGGAGGAGGTATTAGAGTGCTTAAAACAAATGAGCCCCAAGAAGGCTCCCGGACTTGATAACTTCACATCCGACATATGTCTGCAATTTGAAACAGATTACCCTAGACTTCTGACAGATATACTGAACCGTTGTCTTACACTCCAACACTTCCCTGACCAGTGGAAAACAGCATACGTAAAAATTATCCCGAAACCGGGCAAGTCCGACTACAGCGCATTAGTCCTTTTGTCCAATAGGACTTCTACCTGTGTTTGGCAAACTGTTGGAAAAGCTTTTTATTAAAAGGGTCGTACACCACGTGCAGCGAAACAATCGACTAAACAAATTTCAGTTCGGTTTCCGGGAACAGACAAACACGTGCGAAGCCACCTCAGCATCGCGATATCTTTAGATATTAAAGCAGCCTTCGACAACGCTTGGTGGCCTGCACTCTTCCACCGGTTGCGGCATATTCAATGCCCTAATAACATCTTTGGACTCATCCAGGATTATGTCCGCGATCGGAGGTCATCCTTGACCATGCGGGGAGGCGAGTCATCAAGACGATGTCTAAGGGCTGCATACAAGGTTCCACGTGTGGGCCTGTTCTCTGGAATATCATACTAGACGAGCTGCTCGATGCGAGGCTTCCAGCGGGCTTCCACATACAGGCTTTTGCGGATGATGTTTTGCTGGTTGTCACGGCCGCGAGTGTCGGCGAGCTGGAGAACGCTGCCAACTAAGCTCTCCACTATATAGTCGAGTGGGGAAGGAGCGTCAAGCTGGCCTTCGGTCCCACTAAAACTAAGCTCATTGCCTTCACTCCCAAGGCTAAGGTAGCCAGCATTAACATGGACGGGCACCGTCTTTCCTTTGTGCCAGAGGTTAAACTGTTGGGAGTCATCTTAGACGAAAAACTAAACTTTGGGAAACACGTGAAACATGTTATCAACAAGGCCGTGCGAATCTTCAACACGCTTTGTAATGTACTCGAGACCCACATGGGTAGCCCATCCTGAGAACATCAGTACCATGGCACGACCACCAAGTGATCGTGCCAACTATCACCTACGCTGCTGGAATTTGGGGACACGTTGCCCAGAAAAGGTGCATCAGGAGGGCACTCGGGAGCATGCAGCGCGGATTTGCCATTAAGGCTATTAGGGGATTCCGCACGGTATCTTCATCCGCGGCCCTCGCGTTAACCCAGTTTATGCCTCTGGACCTGAAAGTGCGGGAAGTTTGCGCTGTGGAAAGAGCTCGGCTTCTGGGTAACTCTGACTACATTCCCAGCGACATCCCTCTATAAAAACCACCTCCCGTCTCTGAACTCCTGCATCCTGCCCAACGTATTTCCTTTATTCCTAAAATATTTACAAACTTCACATCTACGGGATCTGCATCTGAACAGACGACACATTTTATATTCACTGACGGTAGTAAGCAGGAAGACGGCGCAGTGGGAGCCGTTTTCGTGGGCTATCTCCCTACTAATCTTAATCAAGTGGCTTACATAAAGAAGTTTAAATTGCACAACACGTGTACAGTATTGCAAGCGGAGCTATTTGCCATTCTTCAGGCATGCAGGTGGATCAAAGAACACAAATATACACACACGGTCATCTATACAGATTCACTCTCATCTATACACGCTGTACAAAACAGAAGCAACACACCCCCCATCATTACACAAATACACAAAACTATACACGAGTACCGAGAAACGGGCATCATAGAATTGGGATGGGTCAGGAGTCATTCTGGCATAGCTGGCAATGAGGCAGCTGATAAGGCTACGAATGCTGGCTCCAAGTTGCGCAAACAACCTGACTACTTGGCCTTTCCCATTTCATACCTTAAACACACAATCAGAACTCAAAATCGCGACCTGGCAAGCTAGGTCGCGATTTTGAGTCCTTGTGATAACGTCACCCCACAAACTCTGGAACATCTCATTGATGTCCAGCATTTTCAGTGCAACGATTAAATCATGTCATACTTTGTGGAAATTTAAGAACTCCTCCATTTAACTTAACCGCATTAATAAAGAAGGAATATCCCTTTTGGACTCTTTCATTCAATTTGTTAATAACATTTTTAAAAGAATTAAGAACTTCAATAAGAACTGTGCATCTGTAAATACCAATAGCAATAGTTAGTAACTAAGCAACCACTTCTCTTTAATTTGTTTTCTTTATTTATTCTATTAGATGTAATTAATAATTATTATATGTAGTAATTGTTAAACGTTTGATTATCATTAGAATTAAGATCCTTTGAGCTTCTAATATTTTAATTTTCACTGTTATCAACCTTATTGTACTCACAATTTTTATTCATGTGCCTAGAACTCAGATTTTTATTTCAATTCATTATATTATTTTATTATACCGCTATCATTGTCATTATATTATTTTATTATACCGCGGTTACTATAATATGTTTAGAATTAAGATTAGTCTATGAGTTTGTGTCCTCCCTTTTTTGCTGTCTTTATACAACGTTGTCTGTGTTTAGAATTAATATTACTTAATTGTCATTATATTATACTTTTTGCTTAGAGTCAAGATTACTCTTTGTTCTAGTATTTAATTCATTTTATTCTTTCTTTTTGTATTTTCATCACTCTTATTGTTCTTTTCTGATGTGACTGCGGAAATACAAGAATATTTATGTTAACCAAATGATAATTTTATTAGAATAATAACTATGTACAAAAATTTCAAACTCTTAAACAAATTATATTAATATAAAGAGAAGGCATACGCAATATGTATCAAATAGCAGAAATGCGTAGCCTTCTCCATGTGTCATAGAAATAAGTAATAAAAAAAATGTTTAAAAAGTGTACAAAACTGTGAAAACTGCCAATATACTCCTGTCGGTGGGGGTGTACCCACCGGCGGAAACCATTAAAAAAACCCTTGGGGGGCGGGTTTGCTTCTTGCCGGACGATCCCAACGTTGTTGCTGATTCTGTCGCTGATGTGATACTTCAGGGTATGGAACTTTTTATTCCTTCCTCTGTGGTGCCCATCGGAGGCAAATCTCAGCCATGGTTTGGTCGCTCCTGTAAAATAGCATCATACTATAAGTAGGAGTGCTACCAAGCCTGGGCTGACACATCAACGTCCCGGGATGTAAACACCAGCGCTCTGAAAAAGAAGTATAATTACGCCTCCAGGGCCTTCAAGAGTTGTTGCCTAGGCAAAGTCAGAGCACATAGGCAGAATTGGCGAGAAACTAATTCACCTTCCTTCTGGATCCCGTGCATTCTGGTTTCTCGCCAAGGCTGTCCAGGGGAATTTCTGTCAGCCATCTCTTCCATCTCCGCACAGGGAGACTCACTGCCCCATGCCGCAAAGGAGAAAGCCGATCTGCTAGGCTCTTTTTTTGTGTCCAACTCGACTCTCGATGACGGGGGGGAGTATGCCGCCGACCATTCCGCGTAAGTGCTCCATGCCGGAGTTGCGGTTTACACAGCGCTCGGTTTGCAAAGCACTCCTCTCCCTGGACATCCACAAGTTGAGTGGGTCTGACGGTATCCCAATAATTGTGCTGAGGACATGTGCTCCAGAGTTGGCACCGGTCTTAACGCGTCTTTTCCGGTACTCCTACTCTCTAGGCGTAGTCCCAAAATCATGGAAGACGGCTTTCCGATCGGCACCTGATCCCTAAAAAGGGTGACCGCTCAGAACCGTCCAACTACAGGCCCATCGCCATCACCTCCTTGTTCTCCAAAATAATGGAACAGCCAGCTCATGAGGTACCTTGAGGATCACCAGCTGATTAGTGATCGCCAATACGGTTTTCGCCGTGGTCGGTCAGCTGGTGATCTTCTGGTCTACCTAACTCATAGATGGGCGCAGGCAGTAGAGTCCAAGGGGGAGGCATTGGCCGCTAATTTGGACATTGCGAAGGCCTTCGATCGGGTTTGGCACAAAGCTCTTCTTTCTATGCTCGCTTCCTATGGGCTTCCCGAGAAGTTGTGCAATTGGATCACCAGCTTTCTTGCAGATTGGAGCATCAAAGTTGTTGTAGACGGTGTAAGCTCCGATTACAAGCCTATTAATGCTCGTGTCCCACAAGCCTGCGTGCTATCGCCAACGCTGTTTTTTCTGCATATCAATTATATGTTGCAAACCTGTAACATTCATTGCTATGCAAATGACAGCACTGGTGATGATCGGCCGTGCCAAAATTTCTTGGAAAAACGTCTCCGAGTACCGGGACAAACTTGTGTCTGAAGTCGAGTCTTTGCTGGAAACAGTCTCGGATTGGGGGCGACTAAATCTGGTCCAGTTTAACCCTCAGAAGCACAAGTTTGCGCGTTAACCGCTAAAAAGAATCACTTTGTCGTATCTCCTCAGTTTCAAGGCACTCCCCTTGTTGCCTCAGCCAGTATCGGAATCCTCGGCGTCGACATATCGAGTGGCGTGCAGTTTCGTGGTCACTTGGAAGAGAAGGCCAAATCGCTCTCTAAAAAGCTTGGTGTGCTCAGCAGAGCGGGAGAGTATTTCATGCCGGCACACCGCCTGCAACTTTACTAGGCGCAGGTTCGGTCGCACATGGAATACTGTTCCCATCTCTGGCTAGGGCTCCCCAGTACCAGCTCTTTCCACTTGACCGCATCCAGCGCAAAGCGGCTCGAATCGTTAACGATCGAGTGAATCGTTAACGGCTCGATTCACTGGCGCTGCGAAGAGATGTTGCATTTCTTGTCGTGTTTTATCGCATCTATCACGGGGAGTGCTCTGAGGAATTGTTCGGATTAATCGCCAAACTTAATTAACAACACCATCTGGATGCTTGGCGGTCCACCACTGTACGTTTCACTAGGAGTGTTCTTCCGCGTACGACCTCTCTGTAGAATAATTTACCGCCGGCGATTTTTCCGGACCGATACGACCTGCGGACCTTCAGGAAAAGAGCTTACTCCTTTCTAAAGGGTCGGCAATGCTCCAGCAATTCTCCTGGTGTTGTGGTTGTTCATGGGCTCCGGTAGTTAGTTACTTAACATCAGGTGAACCGTGTGCTCGTCTGCCCCCTTTTCTATAAAAAAAAGAACATAGTTCACCTGATGGTAAGTGACTGATGTAGCTCGTAGACACATCAATCCTCGATTAAGAATCAAAATGTAGACGCCTCGTTATTAGAATAAAGCGTCTTTGATTCTCATACAAAACAGAGACCTTATGATGCTATTTTATGCTGGTATTTTGTTAGAGCGCAGTCCTTACCATTATTGTACTAGTAAAACACTCGTGATTCAATCGATCGATAATCCACTTGTCTATATCGGTCTGTCCGTGTTTCTCATGTAATTTCCTCGCTGTTGTACTTTTGATTCCCTGTCACGTAAGTTTTTTTACGTACAAGTAATCCACTTAGGCATTCACTACAACTAGTTTAGTGTAGGTTTACTTTCTTAAAAGGAATGGCAACATGTTGTAAGTTCTACCTTCAGTCCCTGCCCAAAGAAGATGCGCTTGCAATCTTCAAAAATGCACTGGCTGATTTTCGTCGGGACTTGCTATTACCAGAAGCGTCAACACATAGGATAAAAACAAAGGTTTGAACACTGGCTCCTGTGGAGACGATTACCTACTATTTACTGAATTCAGCAGTACTTTTCTTATACAACAGTACTTAAATCAGTGCACATTGAATGCGGCAGTACTGAAGTTGTCAATGTGACTGTGGCGCTGTACTAAAATCAGTTAATAATCCCACCACCCATGGTT